AACTAATTGCATTCATTATAAGAAATTGATTTATGAAAAACTTTATTAAAATTTTTTTTTGAGCAATGCGACTGGCTGTGTTACTGAGCTAAATGTCTGCTCCATTATCGATATTGTAGCATGGAAAATGCTTTCACAGTTTTGATACTAAAAATTATTAATGAGCTGATATTTCATTGTAACCTAAAACAGATATAAAAGTTTATGGAGAAAGTTTCTTGGCGAAATATTGAACCTCAGCCATTATGTAGTTCATAAACTGAAGATTCTTGCTATCTTGCAATATGTATAAGAGCATGAAATGGAAATTTTTAAGTAATATGATCTCACGTAAATATTATTTTCATGGAAAACTTTTTTAATGAAAGTTACAATGCAGAACTGATTAGAATTTTAGTGCAACTACAAGATACACAAGCTTGTGCTTTATACAATTTAAAAAAAATGAAAAATATGAACTTTATATTGATTTTGTGGACAGAACTTTAAAAACTAGACAGACTCAAAAAATTGCTGAAAATTTTTAAACATGACATTGGAATTCCCATGAAAACTTTGCGATATAACTAATGGCAAAAGGTGCTGTAAAATGGGCAGTTTATTAGCTTAAACTTTTTTTATTTCTGCAACTTTTTTAAAGGACAACATAGACATGGTCTACAAAAACAATTATACTGTATTAAATATTGTACTTTTGAACTTATACTTGAATATTATGTTTATGTTTCATGCCTTGATATTTTAGGGAGGTTATAAATTAAAGCTTTGCCTCCCTAAAATGCAACAATATTTTTTGGCAACAAAATGAATTCATGTTGATAGGAATTTTTTTAATAGCCTCGCAATTTGATTGATTTTTTCGTCAGTTTGCAACTTAGTATTGCTTGAAATTATTTTTAAGACACCCAAAAAACAAACAATTCAAAGTTCCATAAAAATAATGATGTCCTCTGGCAGGCATTCTCACATCCCTGGCACCCAGGGGACCCTGTCGCCCACTTGCTCACTAGTCGCCCAAAATATAACATTTTTACTCTGCATTGTTCCAGTTTAAACTTTCAAGTACATAATACAAAATTTATAGCTACATATTTCATAATAAAACCCATCGTACTAACACCTCGTTAATCATTTTGTACATTAAAGTGGCGCAGCCCTCACCGGAATGACACGCTTAAATTCTGTATTATTAGGTGTGTCGAAGTGCAATAAAACAAATTGAGGAAAGTTTATACAGTACAGCAATTCGTTCCGGAACATAATTTGTGCAGCAATATTTGCAAAGACTTTTTCAGTGGCTTCGTGGCTATAATGGTAGTTTTTGTCCTATAAAAGAAGATGAAATCCAGTATAAATGAAACAAAAATTCCATTAGCCACAACTTGACAGATCTTCCTCTTTTCATGCTCCTCCGAGTGTAAACTTTTGCGGATTAAATGCATTAAAGCGATGGTAATGATGGTATAAATTACGGAAATGATTCAGTCACTCAATTCATGTCTTATTTTCGAGACTGAAGATCTGCGCCAAGCACACATTTGATATATTAAAGTAATTTATCAGCCGAGACTCTAAATGTGATACAATCATTTTATATACTCGAAAATTCTCCGAGTTATTTGAGATCCATAAAAAATGATCAAGTGTTTAAAAGCAAATCATTTGCTTACAGCATGAGGAAGTAGATAAAAAGAGTAAAGGAATCAAGTGCGGAAAAAAGTAAACAAAGAGAAATGAAAATTAAATTTAATGTAACGATTGGCAATTGAATTTTATATTGAATTCAATATTCCGTAATGAAAAGTATTTTCAGCGCACATCACAAGCATCTCATTTCAAGCGTAAAGGGAGCAATAAATATTCATCAAGAAAAGAAATCTTGAAAAGGTAGATGTTTAGCGTAATTTTAAAAATTGGAGGCAATATTATTTAGATACGCTTTGGGAATTGAAATGAAATATTATTTCTTGCCAAGTTGTTGGATTGCTAGCTACTCCGGTGTCCCTATATCACAAAGAAACCATTACCTATTCAGATCAATAGTGATCCAGAGGTGCGCTAGGGCGTTTCGAAGCTAATGAGAGTTAAACGAGTGAGGATGCGCCAAACCACTGCACTCAAACCTAGACCTACAATTTATAGTGGGATCGGAACCACTCCTTTGATGACATTACTGCCTATAGCCATAAAAGAAGGCTGTGAGCTTCATTTCCAGTACATATGATTCGAAAAAGGACATGTGAAAAAATTCTCATGCCCAGTCTCGAACCCATGATCGCTGTGTCGGTATTGCAATAATTAAGTTCCGTAGTACTAAACCATTCCGCCACTGAGCCACTTTAGCTTACATCTATATCACAAGATTGCTGTATATTCGGGCGATATCAATAGTAAGTCCTTGTTATACTAATATTTCAAAAAATAAGCCATTATTAGAGCTCGAGATCTCTCCGGCAACCAAATTATATTTCCTCTCACCTCAAAATCGACTCAGGCATCATGACTCGAAAAAAAACTCTAAAACAACATCCATCATCTATATTGTGTACATTCACCTATACATAAATCGAAGTGTGTAAATATTTGTTGGTGTTTATGAAAAATAAATTCTCCTTGCGAAAAGTGTTTGCTGAGTTTAAATTGAGCAAGAAGAAGTGAATCGATGATCTATAGCTAAAAATAGCATGTACGGAATGAAGAAAGAAAAGAAAATTTTCTTTAAAAAAGAAGAAAAAAAAAAGTTTTTGCGATGATGAAAATCAATGGGACAATTAATTGAATATTTTATTCTGAATGGAATGCCTAGCATTACATCATGCTTGACAAATGCTATTAGAATAATTTTCAATTCAATTAATACTCGCTTCCATCTGTCGATCGATTAATTAATTCTTGTCGTTTTTCTTTGTTCGACCGTAAAATGATGAGAAAAAGAAATCTATGAAAAATTGATTGTCATGATGACAGCTGTCCGAAATGTATTTTTTTGCTCATATTCACACATTTGAATGAAAAATTTATGTTCCTTGTGGTGACATACTCTTCTGTATTGACCAATGAATAATAGAAAAAATTGTTTTAATTCTCTGAGGATTGTCCAGACATCTGACATGATATGATACACATACGACATAGACAATGTTTGATTCTTGTTCGGGGTGGTGCTAAGAAATCGTTTCCTTGTTCGAAATGTTTTCTAGTACTCTGCACACTTTTTAAATCTTTTTACAATTTATGCATACCCCCCCCCCCCCCCCCCCTCCCCTTCATCCGTCACTTCACATCATAAAAAAACCATAAAGTCATACTTAATTGTTCATTTCATTCATGAAGTTCAACTGAACAAGGAGCCAAAAAAATGTAATTTAGTTTTAATTGAGTACAGAGACATAGAGCAATAGGCGCGGTGCCATTCTTCATCAAACATCTATCCAAACAATTTGATGTTTAGTCACATGATGAATCATTAAATGAACTGTTCATTGTTGCTAATGGCTCGTCTCATCACATCAAAATTCTATTTCATATTCACAGTTTGTGAAAAAAAGCTTCAAAGTTATTTGACATTAAAGCTTATAATTTGGAACTTACTTTTAATTTTTAAACAACTTGAAGCAGTTCGAAAATTCTGTGAATTGTGTTTGCTTTTCTGCATGTTTCTACATGTTAATGATAACTTCCGTTGCTGTTTGCTGTCTGTTATCATCCTCGTATGCTGAAGGACGAACACACAAAAAAAAAAATTCTCTTTTATTTTAGATGCTTTAATCCATTTCTATGCTTGTTCTTGTTCATTTTCTGTTACAAATGATAATGAAAGAGCACGACTGTTGACAGTTTGTACGAACATGTGTTTGTCTCTTGAGGTAGAAATTGGAAGGACAATTCATATTGCTTCTTTATATTCTGCAACCTTGAATCTTGCTTTCTTAAGATTGATGATTTTTTGAGTCATCTCATTGTGAACTTTATTGGTTCTAACTTTTATGGAAACTTGAAGTTGGAATAAAATTTTCATGTATTCACAGATGAAATTTTAAAGACAGCAGGGAATTCTTTATTATGCTGAATGCAAGTTTGCAGATAAAAATAAGAATTATTAAAGGTTTTGGTCGCTGTGCTTTACAACTGGTGGTTTCAAATGGATTGAGTAGTGTTTTATGAGATCTAGTGAAGCTAAACAAGAAGCTGGTTTTTTGAGCTACCCTATAACTGCGTTCATCTCTTGGTTATCATAAAAAACTGGATCAGGAGATAAACACAGCGCACGAGCTCAACTTTAGAGTAGTGTGATTTGTGTTGACCTAAAAACCAGCCTCAGATGTTATTTTAGTTATTAGCACATCATTTTAGATGAAATATACTTCAAGTACCAAAAACGTATCAAGCCACAACTTCAATTTATTTTCCAACTTCCACTTCTCTTATCATTTCACCATTTTTATACTGTTAAAGCATGTGCTGTGGTAAATTTGAATTTTTATGAAATTTTTTAAAGACAACGCAAGAGTAAGAAATAAAGAGTATCATGTGTAAGTCCGAAGGGAAATTTGTTTTTCAACATGCAAAAGTAAATGGAGGTCATTGATAGAAATCGATTTGAATAATTTTACTACTTCAATAAACATTTCATGAAATGCAATGTGGGACATTCAAACCTAAAGTCTATTCTATTTATTTTTCGCATAACAAATATTCAAAAAGAGAAAGAGATTATATTCCTTTTTGTTCTGTAAATGAGACACAATGAAAATGAGAAATGAAAACAGAGGAAAGAAGAAAAAAAATGTTTATTTCTACGACCGCATGGGAACTGCAATGTAAATTTAAACAACTAAATACGAAACTGAAACAAGAGAACTTTTACGTGCATCATCTGGATTTTCATTTTTTTATTTAAAATTCCATTTCACGTAATTCTCATCAATCTGCCCTTCCTGCAGTGAAAAAAAAATTAATTTAAATTTTTCCTTATTTCTTTTTCTTTCATAAAACAACAGATTCATGCTGTCAATTAAATGCAACTTGATTAGATAAAGTCCTGCCGGTTTTATAAATTGCAAATCAATCATATGGATTAGAGAAGTATGAACTCATCTGAGACGACAACAGAATTATCGAATGTGCCTGACTCGTATCAAATTGAAGTTAAAGCAAGCCCTAAATTTAATGACATAAATTTTAATCTTATTGGCAACGATACAGCAACACAACTTAACAATGACACTTTTACATTTCAAGGTAACGTGAGAGAAAATTATTTTTTTTCTGTTGATTTTGTGAAGAAATAGTGATGTATTTAGGTACGCAGGGACCTGCACATTCCCAAAAATTTCTTATTACAAACCTGAACTGTCTATCCTAACTAGATTTCCAATTAGAGATGTTCCGATTGAATTAAAAATCTTGATAGTAATCCACACTTGATTCCATTTCTGCTATTGAAAAAATTGTATTAGAAATGTGCTTATTTTCCGATATTTAATTGAAAAAACATAGATGAGGACTTTTCTATTTATTGATATGACACTAATCGAATGTTTACAATCAATTGAACATGTACTAACTGTAATTAAATGGAAAATATGTTGTTTGGATATCAAGCTATACAATCTATCGATCCTTTTTAAAACTTTCAAGAAACAAAACTTTTTATATCAATTTTCATGATGAAATTTATGAATCAAAATATTTTTGAAAAATAACTTGAGCTTTATCTCAATGAGCTGTGATAGGATTACATAGGAAATTCAGTGAATCAGCTTTTATTTCATAGCATTTCAATTCTTGAATTATTATTTATGTTGCAATAAATTGAATGAAAAGAAATGAATGAAAACATATTAAATTTCGTATATGATGCGAATTATTTTTTTTAAAAAAAAATTCAAGCGTTTAATAACTTAGCCGAGATTTACTTTTGGAAAAATCAGATTATTAATGCACGACTGGTGAACTATGTATTAGAATCTAATTTAAACTATGTACAATTTGTTGATTGGTTTTATGATTTGAATCTTATAACTGGCAATTGACCCTTAATTAGTATTTCATATAAGGGCAGGTTCTTAGCAAGACAGTTGACAAACTCACAGCTACGCCATTGAAAAGTATCAATTTTAAAGATAATCGAGACACAAACAAAAGTTAATAGCTATGGTCTGTTAAATTAGATCCATATAAAGAACAAAAAAAGGTAAAAGCATGAAGAGGGCCCAGTTTTTTGAGCTGGAGGGACTGCGATTCTAATTAAAACACAAATTATTATACCACACTCTTTAGTCCTACAAAATAGTAAAAATAATAATAATATAGTCCAAAAGAAGTGGTGACTATTCTCCCCAATCAGTCACCATTCATTGCTTGAGAATTGTAACTTACAATTTAAGCATCCCTTTTATTAAATATTCTCTTAGAAATTCAAAATCAATAGTCACTTCCATTTTCTGTCAAGTGATTCTATCGGATGCAATAAAAACTTGCCTGAAAAAAGTTTAATTGAATTATCTTTCATAAAATATTCCTTTTAGCTTTAAATATGACTAAATATTTCAAAGTCAATTCATCCTCGTCATTCGCTCGATACAAAAATTATTATTCAATATTTTGAAATTGCGTTAAAGCTTTTACAAGAAATCTTATTAAGAAAATCTGATTTTTAAAATCACAACTCACGAAAATGAAGTTAAAGTCTCTTTAAAAATATACAAGAAGGAAATGAAAACATGAAAATTTAATAAACCTCTTCTTTTACCATTCACTGTAAAATATGAAACTGCATTATTATTTTTTTTTTCACTTACATGTCTTAGGAAACAAGATTGTTGTACGACCTGAGGAAGCGCTCATTGTGATATTCGTACTAATATTATGGATGGCAGCAATCGGATTGTTCTTCCATCGCTGGGGAAAAATAAGAAACTGTGAACCATACACACCAAAATTCGAGGCCGAAGACCATCGAAACTCGTGTCATGATCAAACAAATTTAATAAGTAAGAGAATGTCAATGTCAAATAAGTTATCTACTCCTGGACCACTACTACCATTAACCTCAAATCCACACTCATTTTCAAAAGGTACAAGATCTTTTGACCCAAAAAAATCTTTTGAATATGAAATCTCTAATCTCTTTCAGGTTGTTCACCAACTTATACACGTTCACGACAGAACTCAGTGTTCATCTCTCCACTTCAAATGACACCGACTCTACAGTCGTCGAGAAGAACTAAGTCCGCACTTGATTTACATTCAATGATAAGCGAGGACGAATGCGAAATTGTTTAGACTACCTACATACTTTCATTATTTCTCTTCTTTCCTCTATCTGTATAATTGTTACAACTGCGTTGTTACAGCTGCTTCTTTGCCAATTAAATTAACATAAAGTTTATTACTTAGTAGTATTTTATGATTCTTTCTCATTAGATTTATAAGGATTTAAACAATAACAGAAAAACAGAAAAAAAAATTGTATGAATAAATTAATTTTAATCAAAATTAAAATAAATTAATGAAATATTGTAAAATTGTTAAATTTCAAACAACAATGAATTGAAATACAGAAGAATAATTTTTCAATTATAATAAGTCTAAACTTTGGATTTAGTTTTATTGTTTTTCATTAATTAGATTTTTATTGTTATTACTTTCAGCTGAGTGAATTTATTTGATGGGGAAATTCTATTAATCACTTTTAATTTATTATTTTTTGGGATTCTGAATTTTGCAAAAATAATTAGTGGTTCATTCATAAATGACGTCAAGTTTTTGATAGATGAAAGTTTTTGGTTACCTCCCCACGCCCATTGTCATAAGATTTGAGATAATTTTAGAACCAAGTTCTTTTATAAGTTGGATTTGGTTCAAAAATAAGCTAGCCATCTGCTTGGGGTTTCCAGAACAGTCCTTTCTCTAGTGGAATACTTGACATGATGTCAAGGAAATTACTAGACGAAGAGACTAGTTAATTACTTAAAGGGACGATTAATGACAATTTTTCAACGCATTTTGAGGACATTTTTGGTTGCATTAAGGACAAAGGAATTCAATCAAAGCTTTGCAAAGAGGGCTTGTGATGGACCAACGGATTCGTAGTGCCGTTTTTGACCTAAACAAAACCTTACATTTAATTCTATTCTAAGGAATGTTTCTTAAAAATTGTCATTAGTCGTCCAAACTGCTAGTAATTAACTAGGGTTCGTTCACTTATTACGTAACGCACTAGGGGGGGTCTAAGATTTTGTTACGCTTTGTTACAGGGGGGGAGGGGGGTCTAAAAACTCGTTTTTTTGCGTTACGTAATAAGTGAACGAGCCCCTAGACATCGAGCCAAATGTTTCACTAAATATGGTCTATTTTTTTCAAGTTTAGCTTGTTCTAATTTGTCCAGAACCCCTATAAAACTAGCTGACATTGAGAACATCCTCCCATTTTGTGAAAATATAACTGGTAAGTCTATTCATAAACCACATCTAGGTTAAATTTTGCAAAATAATCAGACATTTTTTTTCCAAGGGTGTGGTCCTGATGAAATGATCAAAAATGATTAAAAAATGATCAAAAATGATCAAAAAAATTATCAAAAATAATCAAAAAATGATCAAAAATGATCAAAATTGATCAAAATTTATCACAATGTAATTCTTCAGTTCCACACCCTAGTTTTTTTCTCAAAAGCCCTTGAAAAATTCTAGTAAATTTTCCCATCATGGGAGAACCTCTATAAGTAGGGTGACCATCAATCAGCTATGTAAAACTGCAATTAAAATCTTTTTTTTACGCTCAATAAAGTTTTGTTTGGATCATTAAAATTAGTAAGTATCGAAGCATAATTAATTTTGCATGAACTTTTATTATTCATTAATTCATGAATAATCAACAAGCGAACTATAAATTTAAACTGTTAAATTGCATGAAATAATGAATGAAAACAAAATACAGAGTACAGAAGAATATTTTTTCAATTAAATTAAACAAAAATTATGACTTCATTCTTGCATGCATTCCTATACAGCCTCGAATACTCTCATTTTCATTCATATTTTCATGCCATAAATTTATTTCATCACGTTCCATCAATTTAAACCATCATGCTGTACGTGTTTTATTTCACTATGGTTTTCATCTTTCTTTTTACCATATTTATGCACTAAAATCACATAATAAAATAAAATTTAAGCCCACAATCCACAGCAACTGTATGAAAATGAAAAGTTTGAAGAAGCTTTCAATTAACATAAATTTATTATTTTCCTGTTTTCTTTTCACAGAAATAAATTCATAAACGACAAGTTTTGTCTTCCCTTTTTAAATGCTGTTCTCTATCTTCCTTGTTCTTTAATCTAAATATACATTACTCAGTCTCTTAAATAAGCATATGCCGTAATTTTTCATAATTTTTTTTCCATCACAAGAATATGTTGACATTTTAAAGCATCAACCGACAATCTTATGATGAAGAGGATTTAACATAATTTTTATATTTTTCATACTCATGTGAAGTTCCTCTTATTCAAGATGTTGTTTTAATGAAAGAGGAAGCTTTTCCATCATCAAAATGATTAATGAGAATTGTTTGTGATACATGCTTGATTTTCCTTTCATTTCTTATTAAGTTTTTAAATGAATTTTTTGACAAGGAGTTGAAAATTGTGCGTCATACAGTAAGAAGTACAGCATATGAAGCTACCGAGTGGATGGATCAACTTTTTGAGTTTTTCAGGTACCACTTCAAAATGCAATTTCCAAAATTGTTACCAATTGTACTTCACAATGATTGCTACAGAGATGATACCAGGAACACAATTCAAAAAAACAACTCACAGTTTCAAGTCTGACTAGACAGCACATCTTCATTATAGCACTTTCCTGGAGTACCAGAAAACTCAAACCTAGTTTGAAGTAGCAATCCAAAATAACAACTCTGATTTCCACACAATACCGTTCAATTTTATGCAATACAATTAAGCCACTGGCTCGACATATAAAGTCATAGAACTAAAATTGAAAATCCTTCAACTTGAACATAAATTTTCAATGAGGTTTTAGTTGTCATACCATAGACTTCATGCATTCCTTCATGTCTTAAAATAAATGATAATTTAAATTGACATTTACGAGTTGGAAAATGTCTATAATCCTCTGTTTTAAATGAGTGGTTAAAAGTTGAGTGGATTTGACAAATCTATCAGAAAATTTACATTGTGATACAGAAAACCACTACGATAAGCTCTAAAATCTTGTTTAGCTCATGTGTCATTTAGTTTGTGAAGTTGATTTAAATGTTGAATGAGTTATTGGGGAGAGAAGGAAGTGGGATTGTTAATAATTTATTAGGTGATGCTTTTATGGATATTTATGTAATTTTTTTTTTGGATATATGTAAAAATTATGAGTATTTTAATTATTTTTTGGGTGTAGGGTGGGCGTCCAAATGAATATATAAAAAAAAATTGACCATTCCACAACAGTAGGGAGATGTAGAGGGGAGGAGGAGGTCCAAGTGGTTTATCTAAACAAATTTGAATTTTGAAATACCTAATCTTTGGAATCCTTTTAAATCTCCTCGCCTCTACTCTTGCTTGGATCTGCGGCTTAAAAAATTTAAAGCAACTTCACAAAAAAAAAAATAAAATAAAAAATCACGAACTTTGTGTCCAAACATCTTTAAATTTTCATGCATTCATTAAAAATAAATTTGATTTTTGAACAAAGTTTCTCCTAAGCACAACATACATACACATAGTCTTTAAGTTAAATTTCAATAAAATTTTCTATCACATGGAGACGACATTTTTCCTCAACAAATCATACATACATGCTGAACAACTTTACGCAAGTAAATTCTTTTTCATTCAATAGCTTTTTCATCTTCAGGGCATCGTTAGGAAAAAAAGGCAAGTTGAAAATTTTTCATTCACTAACTTTAGTCTTTCGATGCTCTTACTCATCGATTTCTATTAAACAACAAAAAACCCATTCTTAATGTTGAAAATGAAGAAATAATGGAACAACGACATTTATTTAATAGAAGTCCTCCTTCATTCATTTTCTAATGTGTCAGCACAATTTGATTCACACACTTCCATTAAATTGGAGTAAGAAAAAAATGAGTTGGAAATGAAGGAATGGCAAGAAAGGAGTCACATTACACACATTTCGATGGCAAATATTGATAGTCATTTTTTTTATCTCTATCACAATTGTCACCATATGTTTAGTCATCGAAATAAACTAAATACATATTTAAAATGAAATGAGAGCTTTTGCTGTATGTCGCACGTTCTTATGAAGCATGTCAAATATTTACAGTCGTTAACTCATGCACTGTACAGCATGTCTCTTTAATGCGTTCGAATATACGCAGTAAAATTTTTATTATAACGATTTTTGACCCACTTTTTCATCCTCGTGCTCGCCCTTTTCTTGTTCGTCTGTGTTCGAGCATTGTCAGTGCCAACATAGTTAATATCCTCAAGTGGATATCACTTGAAGAAAATCTCCACTCAACATCTCCTGTAAAGCAGGATGTTATAAGAATAAATTCCATTATGCAAATGTCAAAAGTCCTTTTATAAAGATAAATTTTTGTGGTTCTTTGTCTATTGCTCTAAAATGCCGCAAATATATTACGGGATGTATTATTAGCTAGAAATTCTTCATCTATTGTAAATTTCTGGGGGAGGACAATGTGTGGATAATGAGACTTATGTATGTCAAATTAAGTGCTGATTTTATTAAGGTGACTTGATATCAGGTCCTTAGGCACCTATTCTTATCACAGTTGAGCCTTATGAAAATCCCAAACTATAGCACATCGATTTCTGATGCCCCGAATCCTAGCAGACCTGTTCCAGATTTTTTTAAGTTTTTTTAAACAAAAATGAAGTTTAAGATGGATTCTGTCACTTGTGTACAATCCCCACTGGATCATATAAAATTTGCGGTTCTCCATCATAAACTATCAAAGATGTTGATGCTTATCATGGCAATAATAATTAAATTAATTGCCGTATTAAATTTAATGCATTTCATTAAATGAGATGTGGAAGTTTTGGATTTATTTTACAATTTCCGGCAGCATGAGTTGATTAATTTCCGGACATAGTCAGCTTATAGTATTCATACGCTTCACAAATGGAAAAATGGTTCTCTTAAAATATATAATAAATTACATTTTAAAAGCTTAAAAGATTCTACATAGCTACAGAATTCAATGAAAGGCTGCGAAGACAGAAAAAGTTTTTTTGTGGCAATTATGAAATATTATGGTTCGTGTAGGCTTGCAATTATTCTTTGTGAGATGAGACTTTTTGAGTTTTATGGTTTCCATTTAGCGTATCTTTAAAATTTAGAATCTTCATCGGGTCTAATTATGAATTTTGCTTTAAAGGAATGGAATCATGAACTTTTAATTATTTTAAGATGTTTACTTCTTCTTGTGTTAAGAATATTTTAT